TTGCACATTCATGGGAAAAAAAAAGTTTCATTCTTCAGCACTTATCCTTAGTTATCCAAAAGGAACCTAAAGGAAATGATATCAAAGAAAATTCCATAACTCATCAAGGAATATATAAATTAGTTATGCCTTGCATATCTAATTTTTGTTTTTTAAATCATCAAAGGATTATGAAAATTAGATTATTAGTTTCCAATAAAGCAAAAAGATTAATTACATATGTGATACCCCAATTATATTATATTAAACTTTCGATTTAGTACTTAAAATTTAAAAAAAAAACAAACAAACAAACAAATTACTGTGTAATCATATGAAGGTATATATAAATTATTTATGTCTTGCATATCTTCTTTCTTATTTTTAATTTTTTAATTTTTATTTAAAAAGAACTACCATCTAAGATTAAATAAAACCCTACACGTGTAAAACAGTTGTTTGATTGTTTAAGAACCTTATCTTGAATTTCTAAATGTTTATCTAAATTCAATTATAAGTGTTGTTTTTATCAACTTTGAAAATTAATGTCAAAGATATCTATGCAACCCAACAATTATTTAGCACTTGGGCAAGATTAGGATATTTATTGATAAAGATACTTCATTCCTCCAATTAGAAATTGTATGAATCCACCATTTCTTAGTTAGTTAGGTCGATGAGATTAACTAAAGGAGAAAATATTGTGGCAACTAATCATTGCTATTCCTTCTTAATTAATGTCATTATCTAATCACAATCTCTCTATAATATACATTGTCTTAATGTTTTCTCTTTTTGCGTATTATTAAAATAAATTACAATTCTATGGCATTTTTTCTTTTTTAGTTAATAATTGTCCGACTTGAAATAGTTATGCTAATTATTAAAGCATTTGAAAACTAACTATACAATAATTTAATTAATAAATCTAATTTACTATTTGATATCACAAACTTTCACGTTTATCTTAATTTTAACCTAACTTAAAGAACAAATGTCAATCTTTAAATGTGTTTATAAATTAAAATAAAAAAAATTCAACAGATGTATCATATAATAATATTTGAGTCAATATGCTAATTTTAATATGAATAAATTAACTTTTTTATTTTAAAATCATTTAATATTATACATAAATCTCACAATTTAAAATACGATATAATGACACGATACAAACACAACATGAATATAGGATACGAAAGTAATACGACTTAAAATTTTAACAATAATTATACATAAATTTAATAAAACTAAAAAAATATTTTATATATTTTTATATCGAAACGAATTATAACACGTAATTTTCGTGTAAAACAAGATATAACTATATGAATTTCAATATTATACATGACATGAATACATGAACGATCAGATCTAATTATACATGTCCAAGTTGAAAGAAATCAAAATCTAACACGTTCTCAATGGTTCTACATATATTCGGTCCTTAATTCTTCAAAGATTTGTGGAGAAGATGGATAGATTGCTGTGATATCTTCATCGCATGGCATAAAGTATCTTCAATGATTCTGCTGGACATATATTCTGTCTTTATTTCTTCAAAAGATTTGTTGAGAAGATTATAGTTAGATTGCTGTAATATCCTCACTGCATGGCATAAGGTATCTTCAATGATTCTGATGAGCTGAAAAAAAAATGTTCAAAAGAGTAACAAAAGCATATTTTATAGGATAATTTTTTTAAAATAATTTAATAAATAATTTAATTAATTAATTAATAAAGTTCAATATGAAAATTAATAATATATATATAAATTATTAAAAATGTTATTTATAATTAAATTTTGATCGATATTTATTTGATCCATTGATTTTAATTTTCAATTTAAATTTTTGTTTGATCGTTTTAGGTAAAAAATTGCATAAATTTTACTTAAAAAACATATTATAAATCTTTTCTTACTTTATAACATCAACTTGAGCCCAACCAACCTTATCCATTTTATCACATTGAAACAACAGCTAAGATTTCACGAAATTTGAAACTTAATTTAATCAGTTTAATTATTTTTAAAAGTAACATTCAGTAAATTTTGAGTTCGAATTTTAATATCTAAAACTCATTTTTTTATTTCTAAGTTACAACTTTTCATATAAAAAAATAAAAATAAAAATATATATTACTTTCAATATATTTTTTTTAAAAAATTAAATTTAAGTATTTTTTTATAAAATTGTATAACAAAATAATATTATAAATGAGATCCATGTTAAATTAATAGATTTAAATAGGTGACTTGATTTTACTAAAGAACAAAAGCAAATACACCCTTTTCTCTTATTTTTTTGTACTTTATTATTTTAAATAAAAAATTAAATTAAATGAAAGAGTAAATTGTCAAACAATTGTGATTTATAGATAAAAATGTTAGGGTTTTAATAAGATTCAATTTTTTATAACTTTAAATATTATAAAAAAGAGAAAATATTAAATCGAGTAATGGAGATGTTTTGATATTCAAAAACTCAACTAGAGCAATATTTTCTATATATATATATATATATACAACATAGAAAAACCTTTAAATTTTTTTTTCTTTGTCTCTTTCTCTTTATTCTCTATCAAAATCCCAACAATCCAAAACACCAAAAGTCAAAGAAATACGCCAGGAAACACATGGCAAGCAAAGGTTGGATTTGAGGCAAAAGAAATATCCACTTGGGTGTTGACTGGTGCATCCTTGTGCCAAAAAACAGACACAAAAGGAATAGCTTCACATGGGTTTTTAGCCTTGGTTTTTCCTTGACTCCTGAAGACTTTCAACTCTTTCTTGGGCCTATAAATAGCTTAGACAGATTGCCAACAAACGATATCTCCTCAAATCAACATTCTTCACGTGCTCTCTCTTCTGTAGCTTTCTCGTTCTGTTTTGCTTTGCTTCCATTGCTGCTCTATCTGCCTTCTTTAGTCTATCTGTTTGTTTTTTATCCACTGCAAGCATCCTTTTTGTTTTTTTTTAGGGTCGTTTCTGTTAAGATCTATCAAAGTAGTTTTGGTCGTTGGTTGACAAAGAGAGCTTTTAAGAAAAACAAAACAAAAAAAAAAGTTTTACTTTTTCTGGTATGGAAAACAAAAGGCAAGTGAGTGGTTCTTCTTCTTCTTCTTCGTCATCATCATCATCTGTTTCTTTGGATCATCTCTTTGGTCCCAAGGACTCTTCTTCTTCTTCTTCATCCACAAGTGGGATTTTTGACACCATTTTCCCTCCTCCATCAACGGTAAAAAAGAAAAAAAAACCTGGTTTATAGACATTTTTCTCATCAATTTGTATTCATAAATGATACAACCTTGTTGATTTTTTTATGGTTTAAAATGAAAAAAAAAAAGAAAATTCCGTTTACTCTTTAGGCAACTATGTACTTGAAAATATATGAAATTTTGGTACTGAGAGGTAATTCTTGATTGGAAGTTAAGAAGTTGATGTATGTATAGGATAAAGATGGTTTATTGTTTAATTAGTTTGTACATTTCTTTCTAACTTCATGGAATTGGCTTTGAATGATGATCAAAAGTTGATGTGACTTATATTTTTAAGTGAATGATTCTTGAAAAGATGCAGAGAGAAGCTTATATATAATACACTAAAGCCTGTTCATCAAGTGCTTGTTGTAACCTTTTTTTATGATTCACTTGGTCGGTAGATATACTAGCTAGTGGAGTATACTCATTTTTCTTTTGAATATTTTAACTTTTCTAAGTGATTTGCATCATTGATGAAAGAGAAGGGATATTGGAAGTGAAGGAGCAGAAAGAAAATGTAGGCTGATTAGTATATTCCAATAGTTGCTAGAATTAGTGCTTTTGGATTAGACTGTGCAATAGAACTTGACCCTGGTGACTGGTAACTATGCATGGCTTTTCTTTATTGTGATTATCCTTCTTTTTGTTCGAATTTTTATAGATTTTGCTGGTTGTTTTAAATGGAATTGTGCTGCAATGGTCTGAATTGTTCTCTTTCTGATTTCAGGTGCTAGGGAGGGACTCCAGTCACTCTGGAATGATGGGGTCATGGAATAATCAGGGTTTGCCCCATCATGGCAAATATGGAAATCCAGGTTTTTCATGCCTTGTTGCTTTTGTCATTGCCTTTTGTGCTGGTTCTTTGATGAGTAGCAGGAAACCTTGAGTTCTTTTAATTTGATAAAAACAAACTATATGAAGTTGCTTTTACTGGATTCTCAAGCAACTGATGACATGAGAAAGCTGGATGAGAGAATATAATGTGAATCCTTCACATTTTTGTTTCAGATCACACCACTGATAGCAAGGGACAAAGCAGTGGCACAACTAACAAAGACACGAGTTCGTCCGTTTATCATAGTGAAACAGTGGAACCTTGCAATCTCAGCTCATCTATCTACTATGGAGGCCAAGAAAATTATTCTCCAAGGAAGAAGACCACTGAGTCTCCCCATTATGTAACTATAACACAAATTACAATATTCCTTAATAAACACTTTTTATAGGTCCTGCATCTTGCTTTCTCTACATGCTAACTACCAGGGATTTCTCTGTTCTTGGTCTTTTGTTTTGACAGTTCAAGAAGGATGGGGGAGATGATGATCCCAATGGAAACAATTCTGGTGGTGCTTCAAGAGGGAATTGGTGGCAGGGTATGAAAGCTGTGGATTTTTGTTGATAAACAAAATACTCTTCACTGTCCATAAAAATTATAGAATTGAACAATCTTTAATCAATTTATTCTTTGTTTGTACAGGCTCACTTTATTACTAACATCTTAATCCAAAATAATGCAAACTTTCCATCCCAATACTTTAAGGTATATGTTAAAAATTTCCTGATGGATCTCCTTTTTGCTTTATCTGTATATATATGCACCCTTCTGTTTTACATTTTTTTTTTCTACATTCACCACTTTCAAAATTTATTCATAGAGGATTCAACTGACAAGGAAAAGAAATCACCCCACCTTATTTGTGCTTGACTTTTATGCATATGCCTGTTACAGGCCAAACAAAAATATAGCGATAATAATAACAGTTAAAAAACACAGAAACCAATTTTCTTTTATGTTCTTGGCATAATATTTCTTCTTATAGTCTAGCATACTTCCATATTTCTTTGATCAAGCTGATTGAAATTATATCTGTGGACTATTTTGCAGGAACACTAGCAGCATAATTAATCGTATTATTACTATGGAAATAAGCTGGTAATAGCTAGCAATACAGTAGAAGCATATAGAGCATAACACAGCTTAGGACTTTGAGGAAGAATGTTGACCCTGTAAGCTGTTATATTTAGGGCAGACAGCTCGGAGCACGCTGGAATCATGTATTATACGTTTATCTACTTTTCTTTTGCCTGACTAATCTAATCTTCTTGTTCTGAACTATGCTCTGTGGGATTTTTCCCACAAGAAAATGGATTACTATAACTATATATTGACATATATAGTATACCCTTCTCTCATCTTGATTTCACTTTCAAGATTGGATGCATTTTAGCATCTTATATACAATGAATGATCACAAAGAGAAGTTATATGTTGCCAACAGTCATGTGATCTGTAGTTCGGTGACTGGATTCAAATTCTGGTTTCCATATTCTGGTTTATTTTATAGGAATCATGCAAGATAAGGGTTTCAAGAATTCCATTTATTGAGGAGAGGTTTTTGAGCTTTGAGCAGTAAGAAAATACTTGAAGTTATCGAAAGATTACTGAACACAATCTTTTATGTATCATTCAAATACATCACCAGGAACCATGATTTGTGCCTTCATGCTCAAGGCAGAGTGTAATCTGCAAAATGTAAGAAGCAATTTCAAGAGATGCAAATGAAGAAGGAAAATGAGAGTCAAACTTGGTGAATCTTGTAAAAGCAGAGGAAAAATGGATAAAGAGTCTGTAAATAATACTGTAAAAATAAAATATACCTCCACATTTGTAACCCATGGGACGATCTGCAATGTTGCAGCGTTTAGGAATGGTCACAGCAACTTCTGGCTTGATTCCAGAACTCTTAGCTGTGTTAGAAAGCATAACAGCGCAGAGACATCTTGGATTCTGGCCTATTTTCCTCACCTGTTGGCAGCAACTGTCAGACACTTGAGCATTCAAATCTTGTGCTGCCATTGCACAAGGAGCCAACTTCCAGGCTTCACTGTCAGGGGATGATCTCCCACATTCACCAGCTCCTTCTGCTACATTGAGCTCAGCAGTGCCAAAAATAGCAAGAAACACCAAAAAGCAGATGCACTTCATTTCTTCAATATTGCAATGCATAAACACTTCTCAACTTCAAAATTTATAGTAAAACCAATCAACTAAAAACGTTTTTAATGAGTAATACATATGAAACCCACAAATCTTAGTGGATGTAGCACTAGAGAAAAGTGTTTTGTTTATTGCAGCACCTACTACTCCAATGGCGGTTAGTGCCTGCTAAAGCCATTACTGTAATTCCACTACTTCTTTATCCTGAAGGGGCAAAAAGAACCTTTTCATGAGAAGCTGACAGCATAGCATCTAACAAGTTCGACTTCTATCTACATATCCATTACCCTCTCTCTCTAGAGTCAAAGGAGATCGCAATATGGGAATATTAGAATTTGAACACCAGACTTGCTGGATATTGTCTCTTACGAATGACTGCATGTACAAATTAAAACTCGGGGAATCAGATAATCAATGCTCCTTGTAAAGTCCTCCTGGCAACAATTCGTGTGAAGTTCATTGGCTTAATGAAAGAGTTCCTTACAAGATAAAGAGAATAAATGAATGGTATATGTCGACAGTTCTATTGCTTTTACTCCTAGTGTTAATCCAAAATTCTAAATTCTCTCTTTTCCTAATCGGCTAACCCTCATCTCTTTTTTTATTTTTTAATAATTTCTTCCACAGAGCTAGCTACCCAAATCTTCCTCCTCACCAATATATAGGATATCGGTCTGTTGGCATGTTGTCCTGCTTTATAAATTCCAAATACACCAGATAAACATTGCTTGTAGTTAACCACTATTTACTAGTAAAAAGCCAGTGAACTGCACCCGAATCATTTCATTATCTGAGAATTTAGTCCAATGATTGATGTATAATCACTTGATGTATCAATCGCTGTTCAATAAGCAAAGTTTGAATGTCCCATTCCCGAATTTAAAAAAAAAAAAAAAAAAACCAGTGAATTCTTAGTGGACCACTTGCATGATTCACTTTCATGGCAGAACCAAGCTGGTCTACTCTATTTGTTGAATCACCAACTGTTCTCTTCTTGCAACTTGCCACTCATATCGTTTAGGATATGCGATCTTAGCTCACTTGAATATGAAACATCCTAAAAGCCTCATTACTTCAACAACATCATATAAAAGTCAATGATATCAGTTAGATTGTTCAACTCAAGTGACCCTCTCCATTATTGATCCTATTGACAGCATAAATTGGAGAAAATGGTTATCGAGCAACAAGCAAATGTTTTGCAAAGAAAACTAACCTTTTATTTAGTATTATTAAAGGAAACAACTATACTTCGATTTATTATTCAAAGATCCAACTGCAGTTTTATTTTTCACTCAAACAGCTGGATGTCACAGTGAAACTCATCAACTAGATTGACTAGCAACAAGAACAAACCATGGGAAGCACAGGACGACGAACAATGGGAGCCTTCACACTTAAATTGACTGATTTTTGTCAAATAAAAATGAATGCTCGGTATTTTTCTTGTTCATTGTTGATAACTCATTTGGAAGGAAGGGTGGTGAAATTTAGGTTGTATTATGCAATGTTTTCAACTTACTCAAAAACATAGTGATCCATATGAACTTATGTTGGATTTGACTCTTTTTCAATAGCTTGTGATTTTCTTACACCAAAGCAAGTCCAATTTTTGATTCTCCACATGAATTACGTATGTAGTTGAGGCCATCATAACCAGTGCTTCCTCTTTCTTTTTGGAGAGTTATGAAATTCAAGTATGCTATGTTGGATTTTTAACTTCTCAAAATCCAATGCCATTTTGAAAAGTCATTGTAGTTTAACTTCGGCTTTCTCCTTGGATGTTCCTGTGCAGCCCTCTTTTGTCTTGGATACAACATTCTTTCTACTTCTGTTTCTTGATTCGGAAATAAGAGCATTTGGTCTAGTGGTATGATTCTCGCCTAGGTGTGAGAGGTCCCGAGTTCAATTCTCGAAATGCCCCCATTTTTATGGTTTTCCCTTTGACTTTTATGGTAACCATTTATGCACAATGAGCAGAAGAGAAAATGTGAACAAACATCTCATGGCTATATTTTATGTCATCTCAGTTACACACGGTTAACATCCTAAAAAACAGTAGACTGCTTTGATATAAATAGCAGCTGCCTCAAATGAACTACAAGAATCAGTAACACAACCAAAACAATATAAAATTTAACTCGTACACATCAGTATTTTGCTACAACCAGAAGTTTTCCGTCATTAAGTATTCTATTTGTCATACCTTATTCTTTTCCTCATCTCAGAAAATCTCAAGTGACAGTATATCGCGGAGGATTTTGTCGCATTCTGATCCTATTCTGGTATGCTGATGATTGTTTTGATATAACTTGATCCTTTTGATTCCCTGAGCTCTCAGTACTGTTTGAGTTCAGAATTGATGAACCATCTGTTGGATTGCCACATAACTTTGCTTTTGAATCAACTCCAAGATAATTAGTCAAGAACCTCTTCACTCCAAAGCCACGGCGGTGAGGCTTGCTGTTGTTGTTGGTAGTGTTGTTGTTGTTGTTCTCCTTGAGAAATGGAGTTCTCTCTCCCTTTGCAGGGCTGATCAGTGGTGCAGGTGAAAAACTTGGTGTGGTGATTGCTGTTTTGTAGGGACTGCTCGAGGCAGGCACAGAATATGGGATTGAAACCTTTTTGTGTGCATTTACACTAACTGTAGGAACCGATGCCAACTTTTCTGAATGCTTCGTTAAGTCATCTACATATAACAAATCATCAATGTGTGCCACAATGTTATATGCCAGGCTTTCCAGAACTCTTGAATAGCTTTCAAGAATGGACTTTCCGACATCCTGGAAGTTTAAAATAAGTTATAATTGAACAACAATTGGAGGGAGAATCAAGTAGCCTTTGGCAAAACTAGATATTTTCAGAAAAGGGATTCAAACCTTGTTGCACTGGATTTTGCTGGTATCCAAGGCAGTTTGAGTCAAACCAGGGAACCTTTGTTTCAAGCAAAGCAGGAGATTTTCGGCTCTTTCTGCTAGAAATTCTCTCTGGTCTCCATCAACCATTAGGTCTTTTACCATTTCCCATGATGACTTTGTAGTAGATTGGTTTGGATTGATTGGAGGCTTCGAGTGAGATCTTCGACGCCACACATATATTGAGGCTTCAACACCGTTTGCAATCTCAAGAGCAACATGTTCAGATGATAGATCAAGGAAATCAAGGAGGCACTCTGCTGAGAATTGATCGGATGTAATATACCTGTAAATTAGATCTCCTAGACAAGCTCTTCCACTCTGCAACAAAATTTAGGGAAACTATATGTCATATTGTCACATAACTTTTGAACAGAAGACATAAACCATGTCTAATATTCTGACATTTGGAAGAGTGTAACGCCCCCAATCCCACATCAAGAGGATGTGTGGATAAAAAATGATATATATGTAGAGAGTTAATCTTAACCTTGTGAGGCGCCTTTTGTAGGACAAAACCGTGAGACCTTCGAGTCAAAGCGGACAATATCTCGCAGGTTGAGTGCTGGTCTTTACAAATGGTATCAGAGCGGTCACCAGTCCACAGTCGTGGGAGTCACTAAGTGCTACACGGTGGAGCCGTGAGAGTGACTAAGCTGGCTACACGATGGTCTGGTGTTGATCTTGGTCCTGTGGATAGGACT